AGACTTTGAGAATATAGAACTGATTGATTTTAGTTGTTTAATATTCACTATTAATATGTCCTCATGCTTAAACTTTTGTAATTATTTCTCTTTTATTTAGTTCTGTTCTTTAATTACATTTCAAAAATCTAGACAATTAGACTAACTGTAATGTTATTAAGTGTACCGAGCGTGTCGTCACTTTTTAAAAGCTTTTGTAGAACGAGTCAATTAAAGGACCGCGAAAGTTATTTCTTTGAATAATAATAAGACTTCGAGAATATAGAACTGATTGATTTTAGTTGTTTAATATTCACTATTGCTGTATTGAATATTTTATCTGAGAAATTCGGATTATGTCGTATAAATTCCGATTATATGATGCATATATTTTATAAAATGTAGAAATATATGTGATTTATGTGATATTAAATATATGTGCAATGTAAAATGAGAGACATTTTTATATAAAAAAGTAGATATTTTATATAAAAATGAATAAAAAGTGTGAAATAACAGCTTTGTTTATATATGAATTAAATAATTTCACATTTTTATTTATTTTTTACATAAAATATCTACTTTTCTTACCTTACACCCTATATATTCCAATTATATATACATTAATAATATGCTCAAAATATTTTATAAATATACTGATAATATATCAGGAGATATTCTATAGTAGATACTGGTAATGTGATCAAAATATTTTTTTAATATACTCACAATATACCAAGAAATATTCTCAGTATATACTGAGTAAGCTTTTAGGGCAGACAATAGAACATCCTCAGTATATATTTGTCTTTATTTTAGCTATACGCCAAGAAAGGACTTGGTTTACAATTCCACTTAACTCACACATCCATCCACGCATCAAACAACATTCTTCTTTACAAACAAGCCGCAATACATTATGATTTACATTATTTACAATCGTTATCTTTTTTGTAGCATTCCTCTCTCCTTTTCCATAATCTATTTAGCACCTTTCCTTTTTCTATTCTAAATTTGTCATCGCATATATTCTCTAATCGTTCTCCGTCATTCCTACCAAAATTCTCAAACCACATTGCACTCGCTTATATAATGCTCTAAATTGTCCCTACCTGACTTACAGAATCTACACTTCGTATCTTCTTCGTCAAGCCAGTATTTATTTGCGTCCTCAAAATTACCGCACCTTAATTATACCATCGCTCTAATCTCGTCTCCTGTTTTCACTTTATCCAAGTTCTCTTTTAATAAATAACTCGGCGTTTTGTTTGTCACTCTATATCTTTGTACCTTGTATTATACTTTGCCTCTACTATTTTACTGTTTATTATTTGCCCTTGAATATCTTGTTCCCTTATTCTTACTAAGCCTTCAGTATTTTTACCTTCATTATTTAATTCTTTTATTGCTTCAGAGCTCCAACCATTACTATAAAACCTTATAAAACTTTTCCCGTTTCAAATTATATAAATCCTTTTTCTTTTTATCCCTTGTGTCCTTTTCATCCCAACATGCCTAAACTTCCATCTTTTTTCCCTCTGCTTCTTTTCTCGAACCTCATGGCTCTTATAGATTATATAAATCCTTTTTCTTTTTATCCCTTGTGTCCTTTTCATCCCAACATGCCTAAACTTCCATCTTTTTTCCCTCTGCTTCTTTTCTCGAACCTCATGGCCCAACAGATTTTAAGTTTCTCTAATCCTAGTTCCCTTAGTATTACATACCTCGGTGTGCAAAAATCTAGTCTAAATATCCATCTTACATAATCTAACATGATTTTTTACAACTCCTTTTTTTCACTCCACTCCCATATCTCTGCTCCGTATTCTATCACACTTTTCACTAGGTATTTAAAAAGCGTCCATCTCCTACTAAAATCATCTTTACATAATCTTTCTCCTAAGCCCCAGAGCCAATTTACAGCGATCCTTCCTTTTCTTTTCAGCTCTTTTATATGATCGACATAATTACCTTTCTTATTAAACGTGAAACCCAGGTATTTAAACCTATCTACTTCCTCTATTATTTTTTCGTCCCATTTCCATGTCATTCTGCCTTTTTTACCTTTACTATTAAATACTAGCACTTTAGTTTTTTCTGTATTTAATTCTAGCTTCCTATCTTTTAAGAATCTTTTTAACATGCTCATCATATTTAGTAAAGCCTCTATTTTTCGCTACCCAAACCATATCATCCGCGTATGCTAATGACCATACTCTCACTCCTCCAAGCTCCACTCCTCCTATACCACGCTTTTCTAAAACTTTATCTATGTCTGCGTTGTATAAATTGAACAGGGCGGGACTCATCACACAGCCCTGCCTCACACCTTTCTTCATCTTGAAGCACTTTGTGAATCCATCCTTCGTCCTTATTGTCACCTCCGTCTCTTTGTAGATTTCTTTTATCCTGTTTATTAAACTGCGATTCATCCCTTTCTCTTCCATTATCTTCCATAAAATTTCTCTGTCAACGTTGTCGAATGCTGCCCTTAGATCCACAAACATTGCGAAAATCTTGTCTTTCCCAGTTGCCGCATTTTTCTCCTTCTCCCTTTGCACTATATGGTTCAAAATAAATATATTATCCATCGTGGACCTCCCTTTTTTAAAGCCGGCTTGGCTGTCAAGTATCATCCCTTTCCTCTCCATTATTTTCTTTAATCTGTTCCTTAGAGTTTCGGCATATACCTTGTATGCAGTGCACAGCAGCGAGATCCCTCTGTAGTTCTTTGTTCGCTCCTTATCCCCTCTTTTATATAGGGGGACAACTATGCTTGTTCGCCATTTGGTCGGAATTTTGCTTTCCTTCCAAATGAGCTTCAGCAGATCAATTAGACCTCCTCTTACCGCTGCGCCACCATACAGCCATGCTTCCATTGAGATTCCATCGACACCTGCAGCTTTGCCTAGCTTCATGTTCCTGACTGCCCTCACTATTTCCTCTTCTTGCAGCTTTTTATCTGTATCTTGAACCTGCTCTTCATTTCTTTCTTCTGTTCCCATGGCACGCATCTCCAATGCTTCTTCCCTTCCTACCATCTCGGTCCCACCTAACAGCTCCATGAAATAACTTCTCCAGTTCTCTTTCGGGATATTATTCTCTTTCCATTCTTTGTTCTTTCTTCGACTGTTTATATAGTTCCAAATTTTCTTTTTGTCCTTCAGTTTTCTTAATTCTTCTTCTTCCCTCATTCTCTTCTCCATCCTTTTGCTCTCTAACCACCCCTTCAGGCATTTCTTTTCTTCCAAATAGTCTTCCTTACTTCCCTTTCCACATCTCCACCTTCTGTACTTTCTTTTCACCTCTTTCTTCTTTCTGGTACTCCTATCCCACCAATCTTTGTGCCCTATTTTCCTTCTCTTCTTTACCTTAATATCCTTATACACTAAGGCTCCAAGGATTCCGTTTTTTAATTTCTCCCATTTCCTATCCACCGACTCCATTTCCTGGTCCTCGGTTTCATTCCATACCTCCGTCCTCTCCCTGTATAATTGCCTTGCCTCTTCGTTCTAAACTATGATCTTCTTTGACATATTCCGTTCCTTTTCTTCCTCTTCAGTACACCCCTTCATTTGTCTCGTATTCTCCTCTTCCTCCAGTAACAAGGTCAGAGGCAAATGATCCGAGTCCACCCTGTCCCCTAGTCTAAATTCCAACACTCGCCCTTGCGCACTATCGTTTACAATTGCATAATCAATTACCGAGCACCCTCCCGCACCCACATACATATATTTCCCCTCCCAATCCCCCTCTGTACATTCGTTCAAAAAATATCATCCTTTTTCATTTATCACATCCACAAAACTTCCGCCGCCATTTCCTATAACTTTATCTTTACTCTCCTTTTTAAAGTCATATTCCTCCTCCCTACCACCTCCTAAGTTTCCTATTCTAATATTAAAATCACCTTCTATAATAATATCCTCTTCTTCGCATCCTTCGCATTGCTCCGTTATTTTTGCCATTATCTCTTCAACGTCTTTCTTTGCTCCTACATTGTATACTGTAAAAATATTTAGCCCTTTTTCCTCTTTTACTATTCTCGTTCGCGCAATTCTTTCTGTAATCATTGTACATTCATAATTCTCCACTTCCGCCATCCAGCCTTTCCTAATACTTATTAGTAATCCTCCCTTCGCCCTACCCTTCCTTTTTTCCTTTACAGCGTTAATGTTTTTCCAAATGTGCGTTTCTGGCAATCTACCCTTAATTCTATCCCATCCTTTTTTCTCTAACCATGTTTCACATAGTCCTATAAAATTGAAACCTACTATGTAATTCCAACAATCTTTGTCCTGCCTCTCTATACCTGCTACATTCCAAAAAATTATTTTTCGCCCATTTTCTTTCTTCATCTTCTTCACTTTTCCATCCTTCATTCGTGTTGTTTGCCTATTGTCCTCTTGCATGCCTCGACTTACTGATACTCTTCTCCTAACTTGGCAGTCCTCTAGAAATTTTTCTTTTCTATTAGCTTATTTTCTTCCTCGTTCCATACATACTTTCTACCTTGTATCTCTAGCTTCCTAAAACCTATTTTCACCCATTTTCCTTCTGTTTTCTCTTTCCATGCCCTTTCTTTTATCCGTCTTTGCACTTCTCTATCCTCAAAGGTCAAATCATAATCAATGAAAATTTTCTTACTTCCCAGTTTCTTTTTCTCCTTCATGATGTTATTCTTCGCTTCCCAGCAGTTCATTTCGACTATTATTATCTCTCCTCCTACTCTGCCTGATGGCCGCATTTTCTTCACTCGCGCTCTTGCACCAAACTTTCTCTCCAGAAACGTCTCCGCTGTGTCTATTAAGCTCTTGTTTTCCTCTTTATGTAGTCCTCTGATCACTAAATTATTTTTCTTTTCCTTCCTTTCCTTCATATTTCTTTCTCTCTTCCCTACCATCTCCGCCACCTTTCCCACGATCTCCTCCATTTTGCCGCTGGTCGTTTCATCCGTTATGTTTTCACTCCTTTGTTCGATCTTCGATAGCCTCACTTCTATCTTTTATCCATCCTTTCCTCTATTTTTTTTCTTTTTTTCTCCGACCCTTTTCTAAGACGTTTATCCTCTCTCTCATCTCTCTCATCTCTTCCCTCAGGTCCCTTATTTCGTTTCTAATCTCTCTCAAGACTGCTAGTAGCGAACCGTCCTCCTCATCCTTCTTTGTTGCTGACAGAACTCCTTCCTTTTCTCTCTTCTTACCTACCACACCGGCTCCATCCTTCGCTTTGTCCATACCTGGTGGCGTTCTCACTGTCTTGTTATCTCTCTTGAAAATTTCCATCGTACGTTGTTCGTTTTCCTCTCTTTTCCTCTTGGCTTTTGCTAACTCGCATGCCGTACTGTTATTACTTGTCATAAACTCCAGTATGCTGAGCGAGCCCGATCTTTCTCTCCTTAACTCCTCCTTTGTAAGTCTTTCCTTTCCTCTTTTTTCTTCTTTTGATGTGGCAAAAACTTCCTTATCCGTTTTCTTACTGCATGAGCAATCCGACACTGTAGCCGGATTCTCATCTTTATTCTTTATTGCTGCCTTCTCACTCTCACCTGTCTCTCCCTCCATCCTATGCGCCCCGCATGCACGCTCTTCTTCCAGCCAATCTCCTTAACCGCTACCTCTATGCCTAGACCGTTCCGTCTAGTGTTTAGTGTCGCTACCTACTCTATGCGTGGCGCAAATCTCGCTCCCTTGTGGAACGCACCGCGATTTTCTCCCGCTTTCTCTCACCTAACCTCTCTTCTCTTTAAATATTTAGCGCTCTTTTCCTTCACTAATTAATACTTGCTGCATCTACCTTGCTGCATCTATTATCCTATCCTAAATTTAAGCTCTTCTTCCTACCTTTCTCTCGGTTTATCGCCTACCTCGTATCCAATTTCCCTCTAAACTCTCGCCTAATTCATCCGCAACTCTCACACGCATGCACAACACACTCGCTCCACTAACCAAGTCCTAGAACATCCTCAGTACATTCTCAAAATATCATGGACGTATTTCGAATAGCAACAGGATATACCCAATCTACGGTAGTGATATACTGAGTACATTCTCAGGATCTACCTGTGCTGTGTGGGTATTTTAATATTTCAAAAAAATAAATATAATTAAAATGTGCCATTAACAAAAAAGTGTAAGCGAAGCTTCATAGAAGCTTGGCTTGATAATGATCAATATAAGTTTTGGATACGGAAAGTTCCGTCTAATAATAATTTTTTTCATTGTACAATATGTAATAAAGATTTTTCTTGCTACACGCGCATTTCAAGACATGCGGATTCTGCGTGTCACAAGAATAATGTAAGAAGTACATCTGATGAAACAAGTGACAATGTAAATGTAGAAAAAAATATGTCTAACCCAAGAAAATTTCGAAAACAATGGTTAGATATTGAGCAGTTTCAACCGTAGTTACGCGAATCATCAGATGATGAAAAAATTGTGAATCATTTTGTGAAGAATTAATAACAGCTAATTTGTCAAATATTTATCGTTACGCAAAATCCGCTGCACATATAACAATTGCTACACAAAAAAATATAGAAAGAGAGGAATCGGACCAAAAGTTTGTAGACGATAAATCTCTTTTATCATTTGATGAACGAAAGAAAGTAGCAAAAATTCGATACACTGCGCTTATAGTAGAAAAAAATATTCCGTATAAAAACATAACAGACATTCTCAAGTTTTTTCAACTAATAGGAGAAGGTTCTGAAATATTGCGAAGTATAACTATGAGTTGGGCTAAAGTCAAAAAATTATTTCGAACGTGTTGGCTCCAGTCGAAACAGATCATTTAGCAAAAATAATTCAAAATAGTAAGTTTACTATTTTTACTGATGAAACGTCAGACATTGCTAATCAGAAATGGATGACGTTTCTCGTGCGGTTTGTTGATCCTGAAACATTAGATATTTGCTCGCAATTAGTCAAATTGATTGACATTGATGCAAAAGATAGTAGCGCGGATAAATTATTTAAAGCTTTTAAAAATAAAATGTGGAAATTAAAAATTCCATTTTTAAATATTATTGCTTCGTCATGCGACAATGCATCTGTCATGACAGGCAAAAAGTCATCATTTAGCACAAAGCTTCGAGAAATGAATAAAAATGTATTCATACTTTCATGTCCGTGCCATTCCGCTGCATTAATTGCAAATGCTGCATGTGCTAAGATTCCAAACTATTGCGAGAAATTTGTAAAAAAAAAGCAAATTATATTAACAGTAGCCCTAAGCGATTTGTTATTTTTCAAGAATTTACCGAATGTTTTTCTCAAACAAACCGCAAAATTCTAAAATTGGCCGAAACACGATGGCTTTCTCGCCATTCGTGTATTCAAAGACTTCTTGAATCTTGGAACACTATTGAATTATTTTTGAAAGAAATAGTAACGAATGAAAAAACAGACTGGAGAACATTTATTATCCATAATGCAAAATTCTGATGTAAAGAAATATTTATTATTTTCAAAATATATTTTAAATTTTTTTAATAGTTTTAATGCATTTTTCCAAGCTTTGAAAACAAGAATTTAATTATTGCAACCAAAATCGCTTGAATTTTTAACTATAATTAATAAACATTTTATAAAACTAGAATTTTTACAAAATTTAAATAATAATTTTGATTTTTCAAATAAGAAAAATCAAAAATCGTTGAATACATTTAAAGAAGAAATACATTTAAGAACTAAAACCGAAAAATTTCTCAATAAATTGAGTATACAAGAGCACGTAGATGTAGTTGCAAATGTTCGAGAAAATTGTTTGCAATTTTACGTTATTGCTGCTCAAGAAATTTGCAAAAGATTATCAGTAAATGATACATTTTTATCAAAATTAAAAGTTTTTGAATCAGGTACAGCTTTACGCGATAATAACAGAGAAACTTCATTTAATGATGTTTCTTTTATCGCTCAAACCATCAGCGGATTTGACGACAACGAATTAAAAAAAAGTAGAAACTTGCACATTGCTTCCTCATAGTTATTAAGTGTGCAAGTTGAAACTTGCACATTGCTTCCTCATAGTTATTAAGTGTGCAAGTTGAAACTTGCACATTGCTTCCTCATAGTTATTAAGTGTGCAAGTAGAAACTTGCAGGAAGCATTTATTTTTTTCAATGTATAATTTTCAGTATTTATTTGTTTTGGCTTCCTCATAGAGAAAGCTTTGTGTGCGAAGGTTTCTACTTAAACACTTAAAAACTCTAATGAAGCAATGTGCAGGTTTCTACTCGCACACTTAACTCTTTAGGAGCCTGTACACTTAATAACTATGTTGCTAGAGAGCTTAATAACTATGTTGCTAATCAACCGAATTTAAATTTTAAATATATGAAATAGGGGTAGAAAAGACTGAGTAATTTAATAGAATTATTAAAAATAGTTAATATTACAGGGGTTACCCATTTCTTTTAAAAAAATGTTTTGGCACGTACATTTTTTTAAAAGAAATCGGTAACCCCCTTAATATTAACAATTTTTAATAATTCTATTAAATTACTCAGTCTTTTCTATCCCTATTTCATATATTTAAAATTTAAATTCGGTTGATTAGTTTTGAA